TCCCCTCCCCCCAAGCAAACTTCCATTTATTTATGTGAGCTGGTACAAATCCAGATACCTTTAGGGAGAAGACAAATAGAAATACACAAGTACAACTCGTGTTGTTGCTCTTCACATTCATTGTGCGTTTTACTGTGAGGGTTTGTGGCAGTCGTGGGTGGAGCCATTCTTCCCACATCATTGGCTCACTTCATGGGCTCTGTGTCACATTTTGCTGGTTCTTGTGATTCATCAACGTTTTGCATTATTGTATCTGTTGTGGTGATCTGTGACCAGTGATCCCGCAATCACTTTGTAATTGTTTTGGGGTGCCACAAACGGCACCCATATAAGATGATGAACTTAGTCAATAAATGTGTGTGTTCTGACTGCTCAGGTTGTTCCTCCTCTCTCTCTCTCTCTCTTTGGGTCTCCCTATTCCCTGGGACACAGCGATACTGAAATTAGGCCAATTAGTAACCCTGTAATGGCCTCTAAGTGCTCAAATGAAAGGAAAAAGCCACATGTCTCTCACTTAAAACCAGAAGTGACGAGGGGCGCCTGGGTGGCTCTGTCGGCTGAGCGTCAGACCCTGGCTCAGGTCATGATCTTGCGGTTGGTGGGTTCGAGCCCCCGTCAGGCTCTGTGCTGACAGCCTGGCGCCTGTTTCCGATTCTGTGTCTCCCTCTCTCTCTGCCCCTTCCCTGCTTGTGCTCTGTCTCTCGAACATGAATAAACGTTTTAAAAAAAAGAAGTTTGCTTTAAAAAAAAAACTAGACGTGATTAAGCGTGGTGCGGAAGGCATGGTGAAAGCCAAGATAGGCCAAAAGCTGGGCCTCTTCAGCAAAAACACTAGCCAAGCTGGGAATGAAGAGGAAACAATCTTGAAGGAAGTTTAAAGTGCTGTGTTAGAAATGGTACGCAAGTGAACAGTGTTATCGCTGATATGGAGGCATTCTGAGTGTTCCGGAGAGATGATCACAACAGCCACAACATTCCCTTGAGCCAAAGCCTGATCCACAGCGAGGACCCAACTGTAATCCTTTCTGTGAAGGCCGAGAGAGGTGAGGAAGCACCAGAAGAAACATTCGAAGGCTCATGACCTTTACGGAAAGAAGCCGTCTCTGTGCCGTAAAATCGCAAGGTAAACCAGCAAATGCCGGTGTGGAGCTGCTGCGACGTATCCGGGTCTAGGTACGATGGTAACGACGGTGGTAGTACTGAACAACAGGTTTTCAGTGTAGACGAATGGCCTTCTAGTGGAAGAAGATGCCACTGAGGACTTGCACAGCTAGAGAGAAGTCAGTGGCCGGCCTCAAAGCTTCTGTCCTTGTCTGATGCAATTTGAGCTTGCTATAGCAAGAAAGTCTAACCTATTCCAGTGGTCTCTTCCATGAGACCGACTGTTATATAGACTTAAACAGCGTTCTAACCGTTAACTAAAGTGCGGTTGAGATAAGCCTTTGTTCAGGTTCGTGGGGGGAGAGAGGGTCAGGAGTGCCAACTTTCACTTAATTACCTATTCTTTCTGAGGCACTACATCTTAATCTTTTCTAGTATTTGGGGGACATTCTCTTCTTACCCTGAGTGTTTTCACATATGAAATAATGGTAGATGAACTTGGTTTATGAGTCCTTTTAGAATTATTAAGTAGCATTGTGTTTGTGTATGGTTTTCTGAGGGGAATGTTCCAAAGCAAAAGGGGGCAAGGTTTTAAATGTTCATGAGACACCATGAAGTGTTGTACACACTGTAGTATTAATTTTTCACTTCTTTTTTGGTTTTCCTGTAGGAAAAAAAAAAAAAAAAAAGCTTCTGTCTTGTCAGGGGCTAAGGCAGCTGGTGATGTGAAGTCAGTGCTCACTGACCATTCCAAAAACCCCCGGGCCCTTCAGAATTATGCTGAATCGACTCTGCCTGTGCTTTATAGATGGTACCCCGAAGCCCGAATGACAGCACGTCTGTTTACAGCACGGTTTACTGAATATTTGAAGCCCACTGTTGAGAACTACCGCTAAGAAAAATGATCCCTTTCAAAATATTCCTCCTCACGGACCAATACACCTGGTCACCCGAGAGCCCTGCTATGTACAAAACCCCGCAGGTCTTATGTTTTAATAGGTAGGTTTTGTAAGGTCATAGCTGCCATCCGTAGTGATCCCTCTGATAGATCTGGGCTAAGCAAATAAAACCTTCTGGAAAGGATTCTAGATGCCATTAAGAACATTCTAGATTCTGGATGCCATTAAGAGCATTCAATATGCACGGGCAGAGGGCAAAATATCCACCTCTGCTGGCGTTTGGCAGAAGTGGATTCCCACCCTTGGGGATGACTCTGGGGGCTCGGGGCGTCGGTGGAGGCGATCACGGCAGATGTGGTGGAAACAGCGAGAGAACCAGGACTAGACGAAGTGGGGCCTGAGGGTGGACGGCGTTGCCGCGATCTCGTGACAGGACGCGATGGGGTGAGGACTGCTTCTCGCCGCTGAGCAGAGAACGTGGTTTCTCCAGATGGGACTCTGCTCCTGCTGAAGATGCCGTGAAGCTTGTTGACGTGACAACACGGGATTTAGAAGTGAAAGCAGGGCAGGGTTTGAGAGGATGGACTCCAGCTTTGAAGGAGGTTCTACTGTGGGGGAAATTCTATCAAACAGCAAGAGACACTACAGGGAAATTGTGAAAGAAAGAGTCCGTCAATGGGGCAAACTTTATTGTTTTCTTTTACAAAATTGCCATATGCATATATATGTATATAATATATAACAATAGTAATAAACGTATTTTTTAAGTTAAGGTACATTGTCTTTTAGACACAATGCTATTGCACACTTAAAAGACTGTAGTCGAGTGTAACCGGAACTTTTTATATGTCCTGGGAGACTCCCGAATTAATGTGACTTGCTTTATTGCAATATTTGCTTTTTTGCGGTGGTCTGGAACCAAGCCCACGACGTCTCCGTGCTATGCCTGTATGAGGTGATGCGTGGTTAACTAGACGCGAGATGAGTAACAGAAAATATGAAGTAGCTTGCAAGGTTCTGGTCTTTGCAGGATTGTGTAAAACTATTCAAATGAAACAAATATTCAAAAATTTAAAACCGAGTAGATTAAGTTGGCCCTGGGCTGTTTACTTGCTTGGTCCTTGAAGTTACCTGGGTAAACTTTGCAGTTTCCGCACTCAGGAAGGCCCCAAACAAGTCAGTTATACACATACTCATGTTTCTCTAGGTACAACGGTCTTTGTAAAAACTGTTCCAAACCCAGACGACTCCTTCTAAGCTCTGGGTACAATAGTGTGGTGTTTCAGTCAAATCTTATCTTAACTGTATCGCATATGGTAAGAAATACCCCAGGGCAGTGCCTAGCACATAGAAGAATCTCTTTTTATATCCGTGCCTCTCCAGTCGACCTGAGGCTAAGGCATTGTGAAGTTCTGCTATTAGGATCTATGACATCCCTCATGAATTTAGACTTCTATAACATCACCTAGACCCAGCTCTTGACAATTCTATCAGGAATCTATCTTTAAAAAGGCCAGTTCTCATGTAACATGATGTGTAAAGCTGGTGGCCTTCCTTCCTGTGACGTTTTAGGATTCATGGACGAAGAAGCATATTGGTGGGCTCAAATTCTGGCACATTAAACCTGTTTCCTGGAACAGAATAGGAATTGAGGAGGACAGGAGTTATATACAGGCATTTACCCACAGAGACAAGGCGGGGTCTGGGAGCCTGGTGACAGCGGTAGGCCCTGGGGATCTAAGCAGAGCAGAACACAAAGAATTCGGGTGGGTGATTCTTCCGAGTCTGGGCAGGGAGACAGGGAGACAAGCACCGCAAACCTGAGTGTGCGGTGGCGTAAAGTAGGGTCCTCGCCACTGGCTTGGGTATCAGGGCAAAGAGGGAGGGCCCCAGCTTCCGTGGAAGTAGGTGCCTGGAGAACCAGGCCAGCTACTATGGGGACTTCGCTATATTCTATTCGCAATTTTTTCTCCCCAGGCAAGCTTATAAAGGAAATCACTATGGAAACAGCATTCATGTACCAGAAATCTGTTTTGCACCTCAATTTTGTTTGCTGTGTTTTGAATGCTTTGAACCATTAGATACGGCGTATCTGATTTTTGAGCTTCATCTGAATTCAGGCCCTCGGCCACACTGAAATGGGGGAACCCCCAAAAGCACCCCATCACGGCAGCTCACCAATCGGGAAATGTTGCAACCTTTCTAACATAATAAAGTCACCCTACTAGCTTGAACTACTTTCTTAAGTAGGAAGAAATAAAGCTGAGCTGCCTGACACGAGGAACAGGATGCGCGGAGTATTTTATCAAAGTACAAAAGAGGAACTGTACCCTTAGCTGCCACGGCTTAAGTAGCTCTCACACGACATTTTTCTCACTTGCGAGACTTGTCTATGGTAACGTCATCATCACGGCTGGGTTGAGATCTTCCCTGCTTTGGAACTCAACTTTCAGAACAAATATATTTAGGTACTGTATTTATAAACATACTCTAAATTTATGGCCAGCAGGGGAGGCGGGAAGGCAGCTTGGCTCCCTTTCCTCATTATTTATTTCTTAATTCACGGAGCGAAATATACAGCTTCATTTTTATCTTACTAATTTGTCTTTCGCGAAGTCACGGTGTTTTGACCCAACATATGTCAAAGAAACAGACCACCTTACATTTTGTTAAGTGCCTGGGACGTAGGGATGCTTATCGGGTTATTTTAACCGTACAGAAGCAGGTTTCCTCCCACGCCACCCAGAATTATCCAGATCATCAGCTCCGTTTTCTGTTTGGGCAGTGGGGGCCGGCTGTCCCCTCGCTCTCGGCAGAGGCGGCGGGTCAGTCCCTTCCGGGACTTACTCGGGCCGCCGCCGCCCAAGCAGCGGCGGGCGGACGCTCCCCGCGCGCCGCTCTCGCCGCCCG